TCAGGAGTTTGAGAACAGCTTAACCAACATAGTGAGACCTCACCTCTACAAAATATTTACAAATTATCTGGGCAAAGTGGTGCACACCTGTGGTCCCAGCTATGTGGGAGGCTAAGGCAGGCGGCTTACTTGAGCCCAGGAATTAGAGGCTGCAGTGAGTTATGATCGCACCATTGCATTCCAGTTGGGGTGAGAGAGCAAGACTCTGTCTCTAAAAAAAATAAAATTTAATTTAAAAAGCAAAGAGTTGGCCGGGCGCGGTGGCTCAAGCCTGTAATCCCAGCACTTTGGGAGGCCGAGACGGGCGGATCACGAGGTCAGGAGATCGAGACCATCCTGGCGAACACGGTGAAACCCCGTCTCTACTAAAAAAATACAAAAAACTAGCCGGGCGAGGTGGCGGGCGCCTGTAGTCCCAGCTACACAGGAGGCTGAGGCAGGAGAATGGCGGGAACCCGGGAGGCGGAGCTTGCAGTGAGCTGAGATCCGGCCACTGCGCTCCAGCCCTGGCGACAGAGCGAGACTCCGTCTCAAAAAAAAAAAAAAAAAAAGCAAAGAGTAATGTTCAGAATGTCTGCCTTGTTGGTACAAAACGGGTGACTAGAACATAGCTTCACACTTGTTTGTATTTGCAGAAAAAATATTGCAGTAATACTGAGAAATTGATTTTATTTTTAAAATGGTGACCTTTGGAGGAAAGAGGAAGAGGGAACAGGGTGGATGGAACTTAGGGTGAGAGTGAGAAAAGGCATTGTCTGGCTGCTGAGTGGGAAATGGACCACAGACGGTGGGAAGCAAGGAGCCAGCTGGGTGGGGAGGTGAGTGTGGCTACAACGGGGTGGGGCATGGTGGGTCAAGTACACTGTGTCTTTTGGGGCTCTTTTTTTTTTTTTTTTTTTGAGGCGGAATTCCGTTCTTGTTGCCCAGGCTGGATTGCCCAGGCTGGAGTGCAATGGTGCAATCTTGGCTCACTGCAACCTCTGCCTCCTGGGTTCAAGCTATTCTACTGCCTTAGTCTCCTGAGTAGCTGGAATTACAGGCATGTGCCACCACGCCCAGCTGTTTTTTGTTTGTTTGTTTTGTATTTTTAGTAGAGATGGGATTTCGCCATATTGGCCAGGCTGGTTTCGAACTCGTGACCTCAGGTGATCCACCCACCTCAGCCTCCCAAAGTGCAGGGATCACAGGTGTGAGCCAGTGCTCCTGGCCCCTTTGGGGCTTTTCTGTATCTGAAGGCCTGTGGTTCAGTGTTCCCAAGGGACTTCCTGCTGGCCAGAAATGGTGGCTATAGAAGCTAATGATCAGTCCCCTCCTCACAATGACAGGGTTGATGACAGTGCTTACCATGTGCCTGGTCCTAGCCTATGCTCTGCATTTAAACCTCACAACAGGCCGGGCACGGTGTCTCCCACCTGTAATCCCAGCACTTTGGGAGGCCAAGGCAAGTGGACTGCTTGAGCCCAGGAGTTCGAGACTAGCCTGGGCAACATGGTGAAATCCCGTTTCCACAAAACATACCAAAATTAGCTGGGCTTGGTGGTGCATGCCTGTAATCCCAGCTGCTTGGGAAGCTGAGGTGGAAGGATCATTTGAGCCCTGAGGCGGAGGGAGCAGTGAGCCAAGATCACACCACTGCACCCCAGCGTGGGCAGCAGAGTGAAACCCTGTCTCAAACAACAAAATAAAACAGAACCTCGTAATAATCCCTGGAGGTAGGTACTATTAAAATCACCTTCATTTTACAGATGTGGACACAGACACAGAGAGGTTAAGTGACTTTCTCAAGATCACAGAGCTAGGAAGTGGCAGTTGCTCTTAACCACTAACCACTGTGGTGTGCCGTTTCCCAATTCTTTTCCTTTTTTTTTTTTTTTTTTTTTGAGACAGAGTTTTGCTCTTTCGCCCAGGATGGAGTGCAACGGCGCAATCTCAGTTCACCACAACCTCTGCCTCCCGGGTTCAAGCGATTCTCCTGCCTCAGCCTCCCGAGTAGCTGGGATTACAGTCATGCACCACCACAAAATTAGCCCGGCTAATTTTGTATTTTTAGTAGAGACTGGGTTTCTCCATGTTGGTCAGGCTGGTCTCGAACTCCTGACTGCAGATGATCCGCCCGCCTCAGCCTCACAAAGTGCTGGGATTACAGGCATGAGCCACCGCGCCCGGCCCTTTTTATTTTATTTATTTATTTATTTATTGAGACACTGCTCCATTACCCAGGCTGAATGCAGTGGTGTGATCGACCTCCTGAGTTCAATCCTCTGACCTTGGCAGGGATTGCAGACTTGAGTCACCCCGCCTGGCCTCCCAGTCCTTCACTGTAACATTGTTCTGTTAATTGCATTGCCCTTTAGGTTGGTTATCTCCAAGGATTGTGAGCAATCATTAACACCTTAGTATGAATTAGCCAATATTTTCCCATCATGGAACAACAGCAATTGTTGCTGTGGTTTAAAGGGACTCTGTAGAGCAGGAGTTAAATAGTTGGGCTCTGGAATCATAATGCCTGGGACTGAAGCCCAGCGCCACCATTTCCCAGCCATGTGACTTTGAACAAGTGACATCCCTAATCTGGGCCTCTGTTTCCTCATCTGCAAAGTACTCATTTTCCAGATGAGGATACTGAGGCCTAACACACAGCACACACAAGACTTTAGAACCTGGGTTTTGAGCACATACCGCCTCCACCAGGACGAGGAACCCAAACCAGGTTCTGTGAGAGGGAAGTAGAAGGGGTTCTGCAGGCCCAAGTGGGGTGTTCTGGGACAGGGTCCCAGGAGCTGGGATGTCAGCAGGAAGGACTTGCTCATCCTCTATACAGTGTGGAGGAAAGGGGTTACTGGAAGCCTTGGGTGCATCTGCACAGAGACGGCAAGATCACCTGAACGGCTGGACAGGCCAGGGTGCTCCTGGATGCTCCTCCTCAGGGGGCTCTTCTCTTCCTCCCAGACTGGAGTTCAGACCCCCAGGATAAATGACTAATCCTGGCGGAGCCACTTGATGGCACAGGTGGGGACAGGGCCCTGGGGCCCCAACTTCAGTCAGTGGAGGCGAGGTGGGAGATGTGCTTTGTCCTTGGTGAGATAGCCCAGCTCTGACCCTGCCCTAGTCCTAAGCACAGCCTGGCCGAGATCACACCATTGCCTGGGCAACGAGAGCAAAACTTCATCTCAGGGAAAAAAAAAGATAATGTTGAAATAAAGGACTGGGCATGGTGGGTGAATTGCTTGAGCCCAGAAGTCCAAGATCAGTCTGGACAACATAAGGAGACATCGTCTCTACAAAAAAGTAAAAAAATAGCCAGGCGTGATGCTCACACCTGTAATCCCAGCACTTTGGGATGCCAAGTTGGGAGGACTTATTGAGCCCAGGAGGTCAAGGCTGTAGTGAGCTATGATTGTGTCACTGCACTCCAGCCTGGGTGACAAGAGTGAGGCTCTGTCTCTAAAATAAAATTAGGTCAGGCACAGTGGCTCACCTCTGTAATCGTAGCACTTTGGGAGGCCGAGACAGGCTGATAATTTGAGCCCAAGAGTTCAAGACCAGCCTAGGCAACATAGCAAGATCCTGTTTCAGAAAAAAAAAAAAAATGCCGGGCATGGTGGTGCATGCCTGTAGTCCCAGCTACTTGGGAGGCTGAGCTGACAGGATCACCTGAGCCTAGGGAGGTCAAGGCTGCAGTAAGCCTTGACTCCAGCCTGAATAAGACCCTATCTCAAAAAACAAAATATATTTTTTTAAATAATAAAATTTTAAAACATAAAATAAAAATTTTTTAGAAAGCCACTACCCACTTCTGCGCCGGGCATGGTGGCTCACACCTGTTATCCTAGCACTTTGGGAGGCCGAGGCGGGCGAATCACGAGGTCAGGAGATCGAGACCATCCTGGCCAACATGGTGAAACCCTGTCTCTACTAAAAATACAAAAAAAAAAGTTAGCTGGGTGTGGTGGCGCGTGCCTGTAATCCCAGCTACTTGAGAGGCTGAGCAGGAGAATCACTTGAAGCCGGGAGGCGGAGGTTGCAGTGAGCCAAGACTGCACCACTGCACTTCAGCCTGGCAACAGAGAGAGACTCTGTCTAAAAAAAAAAAAAAAGAAAGAAAGAAAGCCACTACCCTCTAATGGCCCAGCTGCTCCCTTGGGACCCTCCAGGCCTCTCCATGCCCCAGCATGAAAGGATTAACCCCAGTTCAATAGGGGGTTTCCCTGACCCAGCTCTGGGGGCCATTGTCCTTCCTGACTGGTGGATGGCCCTGGCAATATTTGATATTTTCCCTGGCTCTGCCCCAATATCAATCCCTCCACCCATAAGTTCAGAATCCTCAGAGAGGGGTATCCATTTCACAGAACTCCTATGCATCCTTCAAAGCCTACCTTAATGTCACTTCCTTCAGGAGGCCCTCCCAGATTTCTTCACCACCCCCAGAGTGAATACCTCCCTCCCCGCTGCCAGGCTCCCAGGTATCTTGAGCCATTCAGCACACCTTGCTCTGATCCTCATACTCAGGCCCTTCTCCCCCCATAGTGTGTGAGCACCTTGATGCCAGAGACCATCTTCCTCTCATCTTTGCAGCCTCAGTACCAAGGGCCATTTAAGCACAGCGCAGATTTCATGGAGTGGCTGAATGATTTGTTTGTTGTGTGATCACCTGTACTGAGTCAATATCGGTCACCTTCCGTCATGAGCATGCCCCTTGACCCAGATTCCTGCAGGAGCACGCATATAGGGGCCCTGCTGGCTGGGACTGGGGATAGGGGTGGGGTGGGGAGTTCAAGGGAAGGCGAGGTCTAGGATATGAGTCCCAAGGGCGCAGGCTCAGCAAGGCCCGTTCTCATGCTCTCTGGCCCAGGAGGAGTGATTCTCCATCTGGCAGGCCCAACTGCGGTGCTGGGACAGGGACATGAGCAGAGGCCACAGGAGGAGAGAGGGAGGTTGTGGGGGGAGCTCGGAGAAGCCCATGGTAACCGGGCGGGGGGAGGAAAAACAACCACACAGTGTTATTGTTACAGAACCATTAAATACAACTTATACACAAGCTGGGCGGTGTCGGCAGGGCAGGGAGAGTGCGAGAGGGTCAGGGGTGAGCAGTCCGGGCTCGGTCCTGGAGGGGGCTGAGGCTGCCATCGTGGGAGGGGCTGGGCTGGCGGAGGCCGGGCTGCCTGTGGAGGCCTTGAAGCTTTGCCAGCAGCTCCTGGATGAAGTCCTGAGACAGGGCGGGGGAGCTGAGAACATGGGAACATCGCCGGGGCACCCCCTGCCCCTGTCCAGCCCAGTCCCTGACCTGGGCACCTCCTCCTGTTCTCTGATTGTGGGGTTGGGGGAGTTAGGGCTGGAGGCTATAGACATAGAGAGAAAAGTGAGCTGGGAGAAAGACAGAGCTGGGGAAAGAGCAATGGGAGGAATGGAGAGAAAGAGCTAGGAAGACAGATAGAGATCCAAGGAGACAGATAGGGAGTGGGGGAGGGGGAGAAACAGATACAGACAGAAAGAGAGAGACGTGTAGAGATAGAGACAGACAGAGACATAGGGACAGAGAAAGAAACACAGACACGTGGAGACAGGTCCCCAGAGATAGATCCAGGGCGAACAGAAACGCAATGACGTTTGTCCCTCAGAGCTAGTTGGAGAAACATGAATAGTTTTCCCTTTTAAAGCAGGGAAGGAAGTGGGAGGGGTTGGGCCACTCAGCTTCAGGGCCTGGGAAGATGGAGGGCCCCCAGAGGTGGGGAAGGGAGCCTGGGGTGGCAGAGGCAGTGACAGGGGAGAAGGACAGAGGGAGACTGAACCTGAAGGTTGGCGGCCAAAGGACAGGCACGGGAGAGACAGAAATAAGACAGATGGGGGAGGACAGAATGGAGCCCCCTCGGCAGGTGGGGGAGAGGGGGAGAGAGACAAGGAGGAGGACAAAAGATACCCCTGCAGACCAGAAAGAGCTGCAGAGGGTGGGGGAGGGGGTTCCCCAGAGACCCTTCTGCCTGTCCCAGGCACGGTCAGCTTCTTCCTACTCCCCCATCAGAGAACTTGGGGCCAGAACAGGGCCCATAATGAGGGACAGAAAACTCACCTCGACAGGTTTCCCACACGACTTCAGGAGTCCCTAAAACCCCCAACCAAAAACAAAACAAAACAAAACAAAACAAAACAGTAAATGACTAACAGCTACTCCCCTCCAGCCCCTTCCCTTTCCCAAAAAGCCCCAGCAGCAAGACAAATGGAAGTCAGACTCCAGGGTGGACTGCCTACCAAGCTTCAAGAGAGGAACAGAGCCCAAGGGGCATGTGAAGTGACTCAGGGCAGGGGTGAGTCACTAGATCCAGAGAGGGCGAGAGGGTCACACAGCACTTCTCTCCTCTAAAAAGGCATACACCATAAGCAAGGCCATGGCTGCCAAACTGCCTGGGTTCGATGCCCAGCTCTGCTCCTTCTGAGCTGTGTGACACTGGGCAAGGGATTCAACCTCTCTGGGCCTCATTTTCCTCATGGGGAAAATGGAGCTCACACTAGCGACTGCTTTGGAGGGTTTTGTGAGGGTTAAATGAGTGAATACATGTAAAGCCATCACACCAGTGCCCGGCATCTAGTGAGCACTCAGTAAACATGTGAACTATTGCTATTATTTTTAGGGAGGTGCAAAGTGGGGAGCTGGGGGACACTTCCCCGCCACCTACCTGGATTTTCCGGCTTCTCTCCTCTTCACTCTCTAACTCCAACAATTCGTCAATGTTGATCTCGTCGGGCATGTCTGCCTCCTAGAGCCAGGGAGAGAGGGGTGCCTAGGATCGCCTTCCCTCCCTCCCTCGCCTTTGTCCAGGGCTCTGCAGGAGCCCCACCGGCCCCAGGGCCCAGCTGGCGGGTTCTGGAGCATTCATGTGGCAGTCAGGGATGGCACTGCCAAGGCAGGACATCTGGGTGTTGGGGGGGAGGGGTGACAGATGGGCTGATAGAGCCCCAGGGCCCTGTACCAGCCCGATGCCTGGGCGCATGGGCCCCGGGAGCCTCGGGGCTGGCACGGGTCTCTCGCCTTGGCTCCAGTTCCCACAGAGGAAAACAGGCCTAGTGGAGTCCTGGAATGTCAGATTCTGGGATTCAGGAGAGGGGCTGGCTTCTGCCCTTTCAAGGAGAAGTCTTAGCACTAGGTGTGGGGGAGGAGAGGCTGGCAGCCAGCAGCCAGCTGGGGCGGCCCCTTCCCCCAGGGGACAGGAAGGGAGGGGACCACTTGGGCCAGCCCCTGGGGGGCCAAAATGCAGCCTGATGAGACCGGAGGGAGGACCACTGAGGCCCCTCAAGGTGGGTGGGTGGGATGAGTCATGAGCTCAACTCAGCTGCTTAGAGTGGGGCGCTTAGTGTGGCCTCTACAGGCAGTGGCCCAAGCGCAGGCTGGCTCAGTCACCCTGCTGGGAACAGGACCCAGCTGTCCCCAGCTGTTGAGGGAGCAAGAGAGCCTTGGGGTCATGAATCCTTTCCTCCCCAACCCAAAGTCCGGCTGTCGGCTTCAGGCCTGGGGCTTCAGGGCTGGATGGTCCTGGTTCATGTGTGATGAAGAGGCTTCAGCAAGGGGGTGTGTGAGTCTCTGCCAGGGCTACTGCCTGGTGCCAAGGGCCCGGGGCTGGTTGAGCAGGCAGAGGGACCCGGCATCGTGCAGTGGCTTCATATAGTGGTCTATGGTCCTGCAGGTGTGAGGTGTGTGGCTCTGGCTTGGGTGCGTGACACATCAGCATGTGTCCACAGTCAGCTGTGGGGCCCACCACCCAAGCATGGCCTCATAGATGACACCTGCCACTAGCAACCAGATTGGTTCACCGGTATGGGCCCAGGTCTGAGTCTGAGAACAGAGGGACTGCATGTCACTGTGGGGGAGGGCCATGCCTTCCACCACTGCTGCGCCATGAAGAGGACTCGTGGGTCCTGTGTACACTGCAGCATACAGATGTCACAGAAGGCCCAGAGCAATGGCTCACACCTGTAATCCTGACATTTGGGGAGCCCAACAAGAGAGAATTACTTGAGCCCAGGAGTTCAAGACCAGCCTGGGCAACATAGCGAGATAGTGAGGCCCGATCTCTTTTTCTTTCTTTTTTTTTTTTTTTTTTTTTTTGAGATGGAGTCTCGCTCTGTCGCCCAGGCTGGAGTGCAGTGGCCGGATCTCAGCTCACTGCAACCTCAGCCTCCCAAGTTCAAGTGATTCTCCTGCCTCAGCCTCCCTAGTCACTAGATTACAGGCGCCCACCACCATACCCGGCTAATTTTTGTATTTGTAGTAGAGATGGAGTTTCACCATGTTGGCCAGGCTAGTCTTGAACTCCTGACCTCAAGTGATCTGCCCACCTCAGCCTCCCAAAGTTCTGGGATTACAGGTGTGAGACACCGTGCTCGGCCAGTAAGGCCCCACCTCTAAGGAAAAGAAAAAAGAAGTCACTGAAAGTGTGACTTCAAGCAGAAGCTCAAGTGATGACGTACCTGTGTCTGTCATGGAGCTACGGCTTAGGCTCTTGTGTGCCTATGAACAGCAGTGGGTTCTGCAGTTGTATGTCTGCCTGTTCCTATAGCTTACAGTTTTATGTCTGGGTGTAGTTATAAACTCTGTTGGGCTTTGTTTGTTTTTGAGACACGGTCTCACTCTGTTGCCCAGGCTGGAGTGCAGTGGCGCAATCTTGGTTCACTGCAACCTTGGCCTCCCAGGCTCAAGCAATCCTCCCACCTCAGCCTCCCGAGGAGCTGAGATTACAGGTGTGTGTGTGCCACCACGCCCGGCTATGTTTTAATATTTTTGGTAGAGACAGGTTTTTCCCATGTTGCCCAGGCTGGTCTTGAACTCCTGACGTCAAGCAATCCTCCCGCCCCGGCCTCACAAAGTGCTGGGATGACAGGCGTGAGCCACTATGCTGGGCCAATTTCTGTTGTTTTATGTCTTTGAGTGGCTGTGGATCAGCGCTTATGCTTGCAGGTGGTCATAGTTTTTTCTTTAGGAGATAGGAAGGGCCGTAACTTGAGTCATTTTGTGTTCCAATGGGGTTGTGCTGTATCTGCCTACGGCTGTGGCCCACGCCGCTGTGTCTGAGGGTGGCTGTGGCTGTAGCACATGTTGAACTGTAGGTGACCCTCCACCAACCGCCACCCCCCCGCGCCCGCTTGTGTCCTTGTGGGTTTGTGCATGGCTGTTACTTCTGTGTTGTGTCCGTGAGCTGCTAGAGCTTCCTTCACTGTGCACATCTGTGTCTGCTTTTGCTTCCTTTACCGTGGGTCTCTGTGTGGCTGTATCTCCCCTGTCACTATGTCTATGTTTGGCTTTATGACACCCCCCTTCCCCCACTCTTTCTCCAGATGTGGTGGTTCCAGCTCAACTTAGCCTCCTCCCTCCTCATATGCTAAACTCCTGGCTCTCCCCAGGCATTTGGACACATCTCTGGAGACTCAGGTGTTTGTATGTTGCTCTCGGTGTGTCCACAAGCACAATGCCATAGGGCACGGACAGGGCCAGGCCAGTGAGTGCCCAGCCCTGGGGCACTCGTCCTCTTGTGCAGACCAGGCTGACCGTGCACCAGCGAGTGAGCACCGAGACCCCAAGGGCGTGGGATCTCCGCGCCCGGGCTCCATCTGTCCCCTACCACTCCCGAGCCCTCCCCGGGCTCACCATGCCGCTGTACAGCTCCTCCAGGCGCCCGTCGATCCACTTCTCCACGTCCAGCCGTCGCTGCAGCTCCCGCCGGTCATACTTGACGGTGACGCGCGCGTGCCGCTTCTGCAGCCCCCCGGGACTGCCCCCTGGCCCACGGGCCCGCGACGGAGACTGCAGCTTGCTCAGCACGCGCTTGCCCAGCCGCTGAGCTGCCATCGCGCTGCTGGCCCCAGCCCGGTCCCGCGCTGTGCGCCTTCGCCTAGCGCCCGGGGTGCTTCTTACGGGCCGGGGCGGGGCTGGCCGGGGGCGGGGGCTCGGGCTCGCCTGGAGGTCGGCCCCGCCCCGGCCGCCTCGGGCCTCAGTTTCTCCGTCTGCAACGCGAGAGTAGGCCTCTGCGCCGGCTTGAGGCACGCAGTCGTGCGGGATCCAGGTATGGGCGGGGACCCAGAACCTCAGGCGGGTCCCTGCGTCGGGGGCTCCGGGGCCTGGATCCCGTGGGGCGGGGGCCCGGGACAGACACTCGGGACCCGGCCTGTCTGCGCCCTCTGGCGGTGGCAGGGGTGGTGCGGGAGCGCCTGCGCCACCATCGCTGTAGAAGGTCCAGCAATCACTTGTTCCTTCGTTCATTCATTCACTCATCCATCCATTTGTTCACTCATTCCGTTTAACGAATTTATTTTTTGAATCGGTGTCTCTCTTTGTCGCCCAGGCTGGAGTGCAGTGGCGCGATCTCGGCTCATCGCAACGTCAGCCTCCCAGGTTCAAGCGATTCTCCTGCCTCAGCCTCCGAAGTAGCTGGGATTACAGGGATGCACCACCACACCCAGCTAATTTTTGTATTTTTAGTAGAGACGGGGTTTCGCCATGTTGCCCAGGCTGGTCTCAAACTCTTGACCTCAGGTGATCTGCCTGCCTCCGCCTCCCAAAGTGTGGGGATTATAGGCGTGAGCCACTGCCCCTGGCCCCATTCAACGAATATCTATTAAGTATCCACTCTGTACAAGACACTGCTCTACGCTCCAGGGATACAGCAAGGAACAAAACAGACAAGCCCAGTCCCACGCAGTTGACAGCTGTAGCCGGGACACACGAGAAACACAGTAAGCATGGTATTATACAGTTTATTATCATATAAGTGCTTTGGAGAAATAGAAAGCAGAAAAGGACAAATGGAGTGACGGTAGGGTTGCAATTTTATCGAGGGTGGCCAGGGAAGTCCCTTACTTCAAAATAGTTGTCCCACTTCTAATTATAAGCAGCAAGAATTATACTTTAAAATTTAAATGTGGCTGGGTACAGTGGCTCACGTCTGTAATCCCAGAACTTTGGAAGGCCAAGGCGGGTGGATCACGAGGTCAGGAGTTCAAGACCAGCCTGGCCAACATGCTGAGGCCCCATCTCTCTAAAAATACAAAAGTTATCTGGGCGTGGTGGCACGTGCCTGTAATTCCAGCTACTCGGGAGGCTGAGGCAGGAGAATCGCTTCAACCCGGGAGGCGGAGGTTGCGGTGAGCCAAGATAGCACCATTGCACTCCAGCCTGGGCAACAAGATCGAGACTCTATCTCAAAATAAATAAGTTAAATTAAATACAATAATAATAAATAATTGTTTATTTATTATTGGTGGTTCATGCCTGTAATCCCAGCACTCTGAGAGGCCGAGGTGGGCAGATCACCAGGTCCGGAATTAGAGACCAGCCTGGCCAACATGGTAAAATCCCATCTCTACTAAAAATACAAAAAAAAAAAAAAAATAGCCAGGTGTGGTAGTGTGCACCTGTAATTGCAGCTACTGGGGAGGCTCAGGCAGAAGAATTGCTTGAACCCAGGAGGCGGAGGTTGCGGTGAGCCGAGATGGTGCCACTGCACTCCAGCCTGGGTGACAGAGCAAGACACCATCTCAAAAAAAAAAAAAAAAGCGCGGTGGCTCAAGCCTGTAATCCCAGCACTTTGGGAGGCCGAGACGGGCGGATCACGAGGTCAGGAGATCGAAACCATCCTGGCTAACACGGTGAAACCCCGTCTCTATTAAGAAATACAAAAAAAAACTAGCCGGGCGAGGTGGCGGGCGCCTGTAGTCCCAGCTACTCGGGAGGCTGAGGCAGGAGAATGGCGTGAACCCGGGAGGCGGAGCTTGCAGTGAGCTGAGATCCGGCCACTGCACTCCAGCCTGGGCGACAGAGCGAGACTCCGTCTCAAAAAAAAAAAAAAAAAAAAAAAAAAATTTTAGAGACAGGGTCTCACTATGTTGCCTAGGCTGTTCTCCAATTCCTGAGCTCAAGCAATCCTCCCACCTTGGCCTCCCAAGGTGCTAGGATTATAGGCATGAGCCACCTCACCCCACCAATCAGCCAAAATGTAAAACTTTTGAGTTTCTTTTTTTTTTTTTTTTTTTTTTTTTTTTTGAGACGGAGTCTCACGCTGTTGCCCAGGCTGGAGTGCAGTGGCGCGATCTCGGCTCACTGCAAGCTCCGCCTCCCGGGTTCCCGCCATTCTCCTGCCTAGGCCTCCTGAGTGGCTGGAACTACAGGCGCCCGCCACCGCGCCCGGCTAATTTTTTGTATTTTTAGTAGAGACGGGGTTTCACTGTGGTCTCGATCTCCTGACCTTGTGATCCACCCGCCTCGGCCTCCCAAAGTGCTGGGATTACAGGCTTGAGCCACCGCGCCCGGCCAAACTTTTGAGTTTCAAAGAACATCACCAAGAAAGTGAAGAGACAACTCATAGAATGGTAGAAAAAAAATAGCAATCATGTAACTCATAAGGTGTTGGGATGAGCCACCACACCGGGCTGAACTGTACACTTTAAAAAGGTGAATTGGGCCGGGCACAGTGACTCATGCCTGTAATCCCAGCACTTTGGGAGGCCGAGGCGGGTGGATCATGCGAGGTCAAGAGTTAGAGACCAACCTGGCTAACATGGTGAAACCCTGTCTCTACTAAAAATACAAAAATTAGCTGGGCATGGTGGCATATGCCTGTAATCCCAGCTACTTGGGAGGCTGAGGCAGGAGAATTGCTTGAACCCAGGAGGGGGATGTTGCAGTGAGCCGAGATCACACCATCGCACTCCAGCCTGGGCAACAAGAGTGAAACTCCATCTGTAAATAAATAAATAAATAAATAAAAAAGGATGAGTTGTATGGTATGTGAGTTATCTCTCAATAAAGCTGGGTTTTTGTTTGTTTTTTTTTTTGAGATAGAGTCTCACACTGTTGGCGAGGCTGGAGTACAATGGCACAATCTCAGCTCACTGCAACCTCTGCCTCCTGGGGCAAGCAATTCTCCTGCCTCAGCCTCCCCAGTAGCTGGGATTACAGGGGTGTGCCACCATGCCTGGCTAATTTTTGTATTTTTAGTAGAGACGGGGTTTCACCATGTTGGCCAGGCTGTTCTTGAACTCCTGACCTCAGGTAATCCACCCACCTCGGCCTTCCAAAGTGCTGGGATTTCAGGTGTGAGCCACCATGCCAGGCCTCAATAAAGCTTTTTATTTTTTTTTTTTTTTTGAGGCAGAGTCTCGCTCTGTCGCCCAGGCCGGAGTGCGGTGGCCGGATCTCAGCTCACTGCAAGCTCCGCCTCCCAGGTTTACGCCATTCTCCTGCCTCAGTCTCTGGAGTAGCTGGGACTACAGACGCCCACCACCTCGCCCGGCTAGTTTTTTGTATTTTTTTAGTAGAGACGTGTTAGCCAGGATGGTCTCGATCTCTTGACCTCGTGATCCGCCCATCTCGGCCTCCCAAAGTGCTGGGATTACAGGCTTGAGCCACCGCACCCAGTCAAGCTGTTTTATTTCTAAATTAAAAACAGGCCAGGCGCCATGGCTCACGTCTGTAATCCCAGCACTTTGGGAGGCTGAGGTGAGTGGATCATCTGAGGTCAGGAATTTGAGACCAGTCTGGCCAACATGGCGAACCCCTGTCTCTACTAAAAATGCAAAAAAATTAGCCAAGCATGGTGGTGCACCCCTGTAATCCCAGCTATTCGGGAGGCTGAGGTGGGAGAATTGCTTGAACCTGGGAGGCAGAGGCTGCAGTGAGCTGAGCTCGCACCATCACACTCCAGCCTGGGCGACAGAGCAAGACCCCATCTCTAAAAAAATAAAAATAAAAAACAACTATCCATAGCTCCCCATGGCCCTCAGTCTAAAGGACAAACTCCTTGGTTTAGCAGTCCCAGCTCTGCCAGGGACAGTCCCATTTCAGTACCTTTCACTCCCAGTTCCCTCTACCAAGAAAGTTCTTCCCTAGAACATCAGCAGGGCTCACTCCTTCACCTCCCTCCAATGTCACTGTTCAGTGAGGTCTTCCCTGGCCACGCTATTTCACGCTGCAACTCTCGTGCCCCTCACCCAGCTCTGTTTGATACATAACACTTACCACTTTCTAACATTTGAGATATATTTTTTTTCTTTTTTTTTTTTTTTTTTTTTTGAGACGGAGTCTCACTCTGTCGCCCAGGCTGGAGTGCAGTGGCCGGATCTCAGCTCACTGCAAGCTTCACCTCCCGGGTTCACGCCATTCTCCTGCCTCAGCCTCCCGAGTAGCTGGGACTACAGGCGCCCGCCACCTCGCCCGGCTAGTTTTTTGTATTTTTTTAGTAGAGACGGGGTTTCACCGTGTTCGCCAGGATGGTCTCGATCTCCTGACCTCGTGATCCGCCCGTCTCGGCCTCCCAAAGTGCTGGGATTACAGGCTTGAGCCACCGCGCCCGGCTTCTTTTTTTTTTTTTTTTGAGATGGAGTCTCACTCTGTCGCCCCAGGCTGGAGTGCAGTATTGTGATCTCGGCTCACTGCAACCTCCGTCTCCCGGGTTCAAGAGACTCTCCTGCTTCAGGCTCCTGAGTAGCTGGGACTACAGTTGTGTACCACTGCGTCTGCTTACTTTTTATATTTTCAGTAGAGACGGGGTTTCACTATGTTGGTCAGGCTGGTCTCGAACTCCTGACTTCAGATGATCTGCCCATCTTGGCCTCCCAAAGTGCTGGAATTACAGGCGTGTGCCACCACAACCGGCCTCTAACATTATATATAATGTACTCATTTAATGTATTGTCTATGCCAGGTGTGGTGGCTCACACCTGTAAACTCAACACTATAGGAGGCTGAGGCAGGAGGAGCAATTACATCCAGGAGTTCAAGACCAGCTTGGACAACACAGTGAGACCTTATCTCTACAAAAAAAAAAAAAAAAAAAAAAAGCCAGGTGCAGTGGTGCGTGCTTGTAGACCCAGTTACTCTGGAGGCTGAGTTGGGAGAATCACTTGAGCCCCGGAGATGAAGGATGCAGTGAACTGTGATCGCACCACTGCACTCCAGCCTGGGTGATAGAGTGAGACCCTGTCTCAAAAAGAAAAATGTCATATTTTCTGTTCTGTGCAGTGACAGAAAAAAAAATTATTGTCTGTTTTCCAACTAGTAGCATACCAAAGGCGGGGGGACAGGAGTGGTCTACTTTGGATACAGGCAAAAAGAAGGTGCACTATCTGTAGAGAATTTAAAAACAAAAAAAACTGACCAAGGCTGGACATGGTGGCTCACGCCTGTAATCATAGCACTTCGGGAGGCCAAGGCAGGCAGATCACCTGAGGTCAGGAGTTCAAGACCAGCCTGGCCAACATGGTGAAACCCTGTCTCCATAAAAATAGAAAAATTAGTCAGGTGTGGTGGCGCACGCCTGTAATCCCGGCTAGTTGGGAGACTGAGGCAGAAGAATCGCTTGAGCCCAGGAGGTGGAGGTTGCGGTGAGCCGAGATTGTGCCATTGCACTGCAGCCTGGGCCACAGAGTGAGACTCCGTTTCAAAAACAAACAAAACAAAACTGACCAAAAGTTGGTCTGGTTTTTATTTTCCTTTGCATTGACATTTCTAAACAGTGTCAATGATAAAATAGTCTTCCCCAGGGAAGAAACAGAAACAAAAACCTTTTGGTGGCCTGCTTTCTAAACAATTGATGCAATACAAAACAGGGGGGAAAGAAAAACAATTGATGCAATTACTGTCAAGTTTGTTTTTCTTTTTTTTTTTTTTTTTTTTTTTTTTTTTGAGACGGAGTCTCGCTCTGTCGCCGGGGATGGAGCGCAGTGGCCGGATCTCAGCTCACTGCAAGCTCCGCCTCCCGGGTTTACGCCATTCTCCTGCCTCAGCCTCCTGTGTAGCTGGGACTACAGGCGCCCGCCACCTCGCCCGGCTAGTTTTTTGTATTTTTTTAGTAGAGACGGGGTTTCACCGTGTTCGCCAGGATGGTCTCGATCTCCTGACCTCGTGATCCGCCCGTCTCGGCCTCCCAAAGTGCTGGGATTACGGGCTTGAGCCACCGCGCCCGGCTTCTTTTTTTTTTTTTTTTTGAGACGGAGTCTCACTCAGTTGCCCAGGCTGGAGTGCAGTGGTGCGATCTTGGCTCACTGCAAGCTCCGCCTCCCGGGTTCACGCCATACTCCTGCCTCAGCCTCCCAAGTAGCTGGGACTACAGGCGCCTGCCGCCATGCCTGGCTAATTTTTTGAATTTTTAGTAGAAACGGGGTTTCACCGTGTTAGCCAGGATGGTCTCGATCTTCTGACCTCGTGATCCGCCCGCCTCGGCTTCCCAAAGTGCTGGGATTACAGGCTTGAGCCGCTGTGCCCAGCCTTTGTTTCATTTTTTGTGATGGAGTTTCGCTCTTGTTGCCTGGGCTGGAGTGCAATGGCACGATCTCAGCTCACTGCAACCTCCACCTCCCAGGTTCAAGCAATTCTCCTGCCTCAGCCTCCCGAGTAGCGTGGATTACAGGCATCTGCCACCACACCCGACTAATTTTATATTTTTAGTAGAGACAGGGTTTCCCATGTTGGTCAGGCTGGTCTTGAACTCCCAACCTCGGGTGATCCGCCCACCTCGGCCTCCCAAAGTGCTGGGATTACAAGCGTGAGCCACCACACCTGGCCTACTGTCAAGTTTCTCTTTTTTGTTTTGTTTTGTTGTTGTTGTTGTTGTTGTTGTTTTAGACGGAGTCTCGCTCTGTCGCCCAGGCTGGAGTGCAGTGGCACAATATCGGCTCACTGAAAACTCCGCCTCCCGGGTTCAAGCGATTCTCCTGCCTCAGCCTCCCAAGTGGCTGGGGCTACAGGCACAAGTCATCATGCCCAGCTAATTTTCGTATTTTTAGTAGAGACAGGGTTTCACTATGTTGGCCAGGCTGGTCTTGAACTCCTGACCTGGTGATCTGCCCACCTTGGCCTCCCAAAGTGCTGAGATTACAGGTGTGAGCCACCCCCGGCCTTTTCTTTTTTTTTTTTAGAACGAGTCTCGCGCTTTTGCTCAGGCTGGAGTGCAGTGGCGCAATATTGGCTCACTGCAAACTCCGCTTCCGGGGTTCAAGCGATTCTCCTGCCTCAGCCTCCTGGGTAGTTGGGACTACATGGGCCGCCACCACACCCAGCTAATCTTTTGTATTTTTTTTTAGTAGAGACGGGGTTTCACAGTGTTAGCCAAGATGGTCTCCATCTACTGACCTCGTGATCCGCCTGCCTTGGTCTCCTCCCAAAGTGCTGGGATTACAGGCATGAGCCACCGCGCCCGGCCCTCCTTTTGAGTTTTTGTGTTTAAAGCTCAAAACTGGACGGAAACCCCATCTCTACAAAAAATACAAAAATTAGCTGGGTGTGGTGGCGGGTGCCTGTAATCCCAGCTACTTAGGAGGCTGAGACGGGAGAATTGCTTGAACCCGGAAGGGGGAGGCTGCAGTGAGAGCTGAGATCCCACCACTGCATTCCAGCCTGGGCAACAAGCAAAACTGTCTCAAAATAAAATAAAATGAAAGAAAGAAGAGGCCTGTGCCTTCTTCCAAGCCTCAACAGCTCAGCACATACTTCTCTGTTTTCATGCTCAAGCCTGGGTTTAGTGGGTCTGAGTGGCAGTGGGAGATTCAAGTGCTGGGAGAGACCTTTGGCCTCATATTCAGACTCCACCTTGAGTCCCATGACCTCACTGCAAGGTGAGACTTCCACTGTTTAAGGAACTCAGTTATCAAAATGTATTATTATGCTACCAGGGAGGCTGACAAGTGGGAGTGGCCCTGGCTCCTGAACACACTATTCTCTTTCCTGCCTGAAGACCTCTGCATTTGCGGTTCCTGATGCTTGGAATGTTTGTCCCTTGGCCTTTATCATCCTTCAGAGTTCATTATCAAAGCCACCCCTTACAGAGCCCTTCCTCCACCACCCAATTCAAACGATCTCATTATTTTCCATCCCAGCTCCCGATTCATTTTCTGCATAGCACTGTTAAAGTGTTTTCAGGCCTGGTGTGGTGATTCATGCCTGTAATACAACATTATTGGAGGATGAGACAGGAGGATCCCTTGAAATCAGGAGTTTGAGACCACCTTGGGCAACATAGCAAGACCCGTGTCTCCACAAAAAATTTAAAAATCAGCTGGGTGTGGTGGCTCACATCTGTAGTCCCAGCTACTTGGAAGGCTGAGGTAGGAGGATCCCTTGAGCCCAGGAGGTCAACGCTGCAGTGAGCCAAGATCATGCCATTGCACTCCAGCCTGGGCAACAAGAACAAAACTCCATCTCAAAAAAAAGAAAGAAAGAATTAAAAAAGTGTTTTCAATAATAATGCATTTATTTTGATTACCTTGTTGGCTGTCCTCTACTCGTGTGCCTGCCCCACTCCATTCCCCTTTCTAGAGTTAGCTCACGTAACTCCTCTTCCAGGAAGCCCTCTTTGACTCCCAGGCTTGGTCAGGTGTCTCCTCTGGGATTCCCCAGGGGCTTCCTTTCTCTCAATTCTGATGCTGCCTGTGCTAAGTATTTGTCTCCATATCTGTCCTGAGAACCTTGGAGCCAGGGCCCGGGGCTGTTGTTTTTGCATGGGCCTATCACCTCCTCCAGGAAGCCCTCCTTGGCCCTCTCTCAGGCTGGATGGGAAAGCTGCCTGGGCTCCCATCATGCCCTGGTTTTCTAGCGTCCCAGCCTCTGATCCCTCAGCTTGGCCTTCCCCATCACAGCTTTCATCACTTTGCGCTAAGCTTCCGCTATCACTACTCTGGGCCGTTCCTGCTCGGTGACTCAGGGACCAGTCTGGCACGGCCACCGCTGGGTCCCCAGCATTAAGCCCCGGAGCATGAGCCCAGTGAACTTTGAATTCAGGAAGGAATTCACAGGAAAGCTGCGGGGAGGCGGGCAGAAAACCACAGGCTTCCAAGAAACGCGTGTCTGCCGCCCCCTCCTCCCACCCTGAGACCAGTCCAATGGCGAAGGCCCTCCTCGGACTTCGTCACCAAGCCCACGGGAAGGGTGAAAGGTGCTCAGCGAGCAGGCGTCCCAACCCGCCAGGTTCTGTTGGAGACCAGGCTCGCGCAAGTCCCGCCTCTTCCCCCGGCACCAGGGGCGGGCCCAGGTGCGCCCAGGGCGGGGGAGTGGCCGCGCAGGTGCCGGCCCTTTGCGCCTGCGCCCTGCTCGCCCTGCCTAGCCAGGTGCGCCCCGCCCCTGCCTGCCCTGCCACCTTCGGAAGCCGCTTCCAAAGGCGTTCGCCATTGGCTCTGGCGACCCCCGTGCGTTGGGAGGTGTAGCGGGGCTCTGAACGCGCGGAGGACCGTTGAGTGTCGCAGGCGGCGAAGGTGCGAGGAGCAGACCCAGGCATCGCGCGCCGAGAAGGCCGGGTGTCCCCGCACCGAAGGTCCGGAAAGGCGACTTCCGGGGGCTTCGGCACCTGGCGGACCCTCTCGGAGCGCCGGCACCTGAACGCGAGGCGCTCCAGTGCGCGTGCGCGGCGAGGGGCTTCCCGCACCTGATCGCGAGACCCCAACGGCTGGAGGCTTGTGGCGTCGCCTGCGCGTCTCGGCGGAGCGGGCAATGGCGCAGCTGTGCGGGCTGAGGCGGGGCCGGGCGCTTCTCGCCCTGCTGGGATCGCTGCTCCTCTCTGGGGTCCTGGCGGCCGACCGAGAACGCAGCATCCACGGTGAGGGCCGGGCGGGGAGGCTGGAGGCGGGGCGCAGGGGGCAGGGGCTCGGGGGCCAATGGGGGTCTGAGCAGGGAGAAAGTGGCGGGGGAGGAAACTGGGGGCGACTTGATGGCGTTCAGTGGGTGTGGTGGAACCAGCCCTGGAGGATTGAGCCTTGAGATGAGGTTTGGGAGCCCTCGAGAGCGAAGACGGGCGGAGGAGCGAGGGTTAGGAGAGTTTCCTTCGGGTGAAGGAAGAGTCTAAGGGTATTGACCAAGAAGGCGTGGCACTGTTCCTTCCTGTGGCAGGAGCGGGGTGAGCAGCCGCACTAAAGACCTGCCTCCTCCTGGCGGTGGAATGTACCATGGCCAAAGCCCAGGGAGAGGCCAGGCCTGTGAGAGGGTGGGGGTTGGATTGGTGACCTGGTGGCCGTTTTAGACTAAGGGAAGAAAACTACCTCACCCCTGCCTCTTTGGAGATTGGACGAGAGCCTCCCCCGAAGTTTTTGTAGTTGAGTTGCACTAGGTGCCTGAGAAGGAGGGAGCAAGAAAGGAAACAAGCGTTGGGGAAGAGGAGGCTCTGCTAAGGCGCGAGAGAGTATTGGCAGCTGGAGTTGGGTTCTTTGAATTGGTCCTTAGAAGTCGGTGGCGAATAAGGTGATTTAAACCTCTACACTCTTAAGGAAGTATGGTCTGAAAGGTCTCTTTGAACAAGTGTTGTTATAACCTTAACTGCTTCAGACAAGCACCAGCGGGTTTTGAAAAGAGCTCTCTTGAAAGAATTCATTGATTCAGCAAAACTTAACTGAGGCCCTGCTACGAGTCAGGCACTGGCGCTGGTGATAACAGTTAACTCAGACGAGCTGGGTTCCTGCATTCACAGAGCTAATATTCTAGTGAGAGAGGCAGAGCTAGTGAAGGTTTATTTTATTTTATTTTTTTGATAGAATAAAATCAAATTATGAGTCTCGCTTTGTCGCCCAGGCTGGAGTGCGGTGGCCCGATCTCGGCTCACTGCAAGCTGCGCCTCCCAGGTTCACGCCATTCTCCTGCCTCAGCCTCCGAGTAGCTAGGACTACAGGCGCACACCACCACGCCCGGCTAATTTTTTGTATTTTTAGTAGAGACGGGGTTTCACCGTGTTAGCCAGGATGGTCTCGATCTCCTGACCTCGTGATCCGCCCGCCTCGGCCTCCCAAAGTGCTGGGATTACAGGCGTGAGCCACCGCGCCGCGATATGGAAGGTTTAAAAAGCACTTGCCATGAGATTAAGTTACTGAGAATTAAATGAACCAGGTGAAGTACACCAACAGGGGGACTAAGATGTTGGGGGTGGCTTTAGCTCAGGTGGTCGGTGGAGGTCTCTGTGAGGAGGGTGACATCTGAGCTCTAACATGAAGAATGAGGAGGCAGTAGCCATACAGAGACCTGGGGGACCAGTGTCCAGTTGCAGGCAATAGAGTACAAAGGCCTTGAAGCTGGAACAAGCTTGGTTGGGTTAAGGGAAAAGACAGAACCAGCCTGGCGTGAAGGAGGCGGGGACTGGAGGAGGATGGGAGGTGGGAGAGGTAGGCTGCAGCCAGATGGCCTAGGGCTTTATAGACAGATACTGGGTGGAAAGAGAAAGCAGTCTGGATTCAGGACTAGATCTGTTAAAAAACAAAAGGCCAAGGCTGTGCGCGGTGGCTCACACCTGTAATTCCTGCACTTTGGAAGGCCAAGGTGGGCGGATCACTTGAGGTCAGGAGTTCGAGACCAGCCTGGCCAACATGGTGAAACCCGTCTCTACTACAAAATACAAAAAAATTAGCCGGGAGTGGTAGCGTGCACCTGTAATCCTATCTACTCAGGAGGCTGAGGCAGGAGAATTGCTTGAACCCGGGAGGCGGATGTTGCAGTGAGCCGAAATCGTGCCACTGCATTCTAGCCTGGGCAACAAGAGTGAAACTCCATCTCAAAAAAAAAATATATATATATATATATATAGAAGGCCGGGCAATGTGGCTCATGCCTGTAATCCCAGCACTTTGGGAGGCCGAGGTGGACAGATCACTTGAGACCAGGAGTTCAGCACCACCCTAGGCAACATGATGAAACGCCGTCTCTACCAAAAATACAAAAATTAGCTGGGCATGGTGGTGCGCACCTGTAGTCCCTGCTACTTGGGAGGCTGAGGTAAGAAAATCGCTTGAAGCTCAGAGGCGGAGGCTGTAGTGAGCTGAGATCAAGCCACTACACAGCAGCCTGGGCAACAGAGCAAGACTCCGTTTCAAAAGAAAAAAAAGAAAAAAGAGCAGGATAGGTGTGCACCAGGTCATCACCTGTGGTAACTTCTGGGGACTGGTTAATTTCCCTATGCCCCAGGCAGGAGAAAAAAGTGAATTGGTGGGGAGAGGCTCAGCTGTAGGTGACTGGGAGTCAGGCATGCAGACGCTGACCGTTCTTGCAATCAGAACCAGAATTTGGCAGCGCTGCTGGACTTTCTCAGGTGAAGTAATTACGTTAGGATGTACCTCCCAGTTACCTGGCCTCTTGCTACCTCTGGTGCTTACTCTGAGCTCGGATGTGCCGTTTAACCTTTGAGACAGCTGGGTGCGGTGGTGAAGTTACGTGCCTTGTCCGAGGTCACTCTGCAGTAGTAATTGACAAAGCCAGGTCTCACTGCAGAGGCCTTCTCTGTTCAGAGTGGCATCCCTGACTGCTGCTGCCGGCTGGACCTACTGACCTTTCAGAAGTACTAGTGTCTGACTGGGTGAACTAATGCCCTCACTTATCACAAGTTCTGTTTGTTTGAAAGCTTGAACAGCTTAATCGGAGGCAGGAGGCAGTTTTGATTTTTTTTTTTCTCCCTCCTTCCTGATTGCTTCTGTTTTCTCTGGAAGCGAGTCATCCACTGGGAGTGTGGTGTTGCTGAAGCTCCATGCAGTGGCTCAGGTGCTGCCGGATGAATGTCGTGGTGAGGGAGGAGTGAGCAGAGAATGTGTGAGGGAGTGAGGATGGGAGTTGGTCAAGAAATTTATTCTGTGTGAAGATGTGAGGGGGCGGAGGGCCGAGTTGGTAGGGCCAGCAGATTGTTGGAGTTGAGGTTCTGAAGGGAATGAATTAGACAGATAGGATGCAGTGGGTAGTGAGTGAGATGCATGAGAGGGAGGTTCTGAAGAGGTGGCAGTTATTGAGACAGGTCTAGGTGTGACCCTGAGAGGGAGGGGGGCGAGGGTGGGACGAGATCAGCTGGAGGTCTTGGAACCTCCAGAGAACCATCTACCTGGATATAGAAATCTCTAAGAATGATGATAAGAGCAGCGGGAGAGGTGGCAGGCCCGGAGCTAAAGTTGGGAAGGAGTAGTTGTCTGGGTTGGCAGACAACGTGCCAGGCAGGGTAGTGAATGATTTACTCTGATAATGGGCGTCTGCCAGCTGGGGGTTTTGGGAAAGGTGGAGGGAGAACAGTCCAGAAGCAGCTCCCGGGAGCAAGGAGACCTCCCTACTTGGAAGGGCCCCAGGAGGTGTGTCCTCAGAGGAGATTGCAGTTAGGTGAGAGGGTGGCAACAGTGTTCAGAGGAGAGATTGAGGACATGGAAGATTTGCCGAAGACCAGAAGAGCTAAAGTAAAGTGGCCAGTTAGGTGTAGTTCTTGCTGCCAATAACTTTGTGCCTGGCCCTGGGCATCAGAACTTGTGTTAATGGTTACTTGGCTCAAGGTCCTTTGTGTTTTTTTGTTTTGTTTTGGAGACAGAGTCTGTCATCGCCCAGGCTGGAGTGCAGTACTGCGATAACTGCAAGCTCCGCCTCCCAGGTTCACGCCATTCTCCTGCCTCAGCCTCCCAAGTAGCTGAGACTACAGGTGCCTGCCACCACGCCCGACTAATTTTTTGTATTTTTAGTAGAGACAGGGTTTCACTGTGTTAGGTTGGTTCAAGGTCCTTTGTTGATTCTTCTTGGGGATTTCCACTGGAGGCAAGCAGGGCAACACTCATTTGAGAACCTCTTCCTGCATTTTTTTTTTTTTTTTTTTTTTTTGAGACAGAGTCTTGCTCTGTTACCCAGACAGGAGTGCAGTGGCGCCATCTTGGCTCACTGCAACCTCTGCCTCCTGGGTTCAAGTGATTCTCCTGCCTCATCCTCCTGAGTAGCTGGGATTACAGGTGTGCAGCACCGAGTCCAGCTAATTTTTGTATTTTTGGTTGAGATGGGATTTCAACATGTTGGCCAAGCTGGTCTCGAACTCATGACCTCAGGTGATCTGCGCACCTCAGCCTTCCAAAGTGCTGGAATTACAGGCTCGAGCCACTGGGCCTGGCCTTCTCCTGCACTTCCAAGGGATTTTCGAAATCCATGGACCTCTTGGGTTAATTACAGTGTCTCCAGAACCTTAACTGAAAGGTAAGCTTTCCAGCAGATTCCATAGACATGTTATTAGTTGCCACCCTTTCTTTACTTTCATCCGCACCCCCATGGGTAGTTGTGACGCATGTTGTGGTCAGAGATAAGATGACAGAAGAGCTAAAGTAAAGCTGGTGTTGACGATCAGCTGGGAATTCTCTAAAGCAGCTTCTCACATTATTCTTATCCTCCATAGAAGGGATGCTTGTCCTACTTGCAGGCAAGGCAGTTTGGTTCCAGGGTAGCTCGAAGTCTTATTCACTGATATAGTCAGTAAATGTTTATTGAGCTCCCACCAGTTGCCAGGACTGACTCACTCAAAATAGAGCACTGAACAAAACAGACCCCCTCCCCCGTCCATGGCAGATGTGTCGTAATGAGAGGAAGACAGTACAATAAATGAACAGATGAGTGTATGTCTGGTGATGAGTGTCAGGGTTGGTGTGCTTAGCACTGAAAATGGAGGCTTCTGAGGTTCAAATGGTTGCAGTTCCTAAAGAAGATTGAGGGCCTTGCCTTCAGGTCTCCGCAGGAGACTGGCCCCTTTCCACTGGAAACATTACTTTGCACGGTCAGTATTTGAGAGCTCAGTCTGTGATGGAGAAAGCGTACTTCTCCTCTTTCACCCTACCCCCA